TGATGGGGTCAGTGCAGAGAGGTGATGGGGTCAGTGCAGAGAGATGATGGGGTCAGGGCAGAGAGATGATGGGGTCAGGGCAGAGAGGTGGGGTCAGTGCAGAGAGATGGGTCAGTGTGCAGAGAGATGGGGTCAGTGCAGAGAGATGGGGTCAGGACAGAGAGATGGGGTCAGTGCAGAGAGATGATGGGGTCAGTGCAGAGATGGGGTCAGTGCAGAGAGACGGGGTCAATTATTCTTATCTACATGGGAAAGTGAAACACTGAGACATTCAGCAAAGACAAGAGGTAGTTAAGAAAGGTCAGAACTAGCTAATTTACTCAACAGTGTTGGTGATGGCGGCTTTATTCTTCCTCAGTCTTAAGATGCTGGGAGGCCCTGTCTATGTGAGAAAGCGCAGCAACTACAAGAATAACCTAGACCCTGAGAAAGAGGCCCAGGTATAATTCAAGCATCAGGGTCATCAGTGATGCTGGGGCTCTGGGGAAAGATGAGGAGAACAGACAAGGTAGTGCATTTTATTAAGCACCCAAAGCAGGAAGGTCCCACTCGGAACTTATGCTTGTAAAGGGAATGAAGGCTGAGGTCTGGGTTAGTGTCGGCATTCACCGTTTGTTGCACTGTATCCAGGTGTCCTTGTCTTTTCCACAGTTACCCTTCTCCGTCCCCTCGATGTTCAGCTTCTCATAGCAGTACTTGTCTGATGCCGTTACCTCTGAAGCAAAAAAGAATGTCCCATCAGAGATGGAGGGAACTCGCGAGCTGTTCACAGTTTTGCAGCAAAGAAAGCTGCAGATTAAGGAGTTGTTCACTATAGTGCTATCCAGGACAAACACAAAAATTGCACCATCACTTACAAAAGTGTACCATACAGCAGACGTGGCTTGGGCACATCTTCCACGAAACCTTATGTGATATCGGAAAACCTGTATACATGGCTGTCTGAGGGGAATTAGACTACAGACTGTGTTGTAAGAAAGAGCGGCCGGGCTGCGTTCTGCCACCCGGCTAGCTTTACCCCGAAAATAATTACACGGAAACTGTATTCTTTTAAACACTGCCTGACCCATTAGTCCCAGTTTCTTATTGGCTAGCTCTTACATATCGATCTAACCCATTTCTAATAATCTGTGTAGCTCCACAAGCTGGCTTACCAGGAAGATCTTAACCTGCGTCTGTCTGGAGTGAGAGAACCATGGCGACTCACTGATTTAGCTTCTTTCTCCCCGCATTCTGTTCTGTTTACTCCACCCACCTAAGGGTTGGCCTATCAAATGGGCCTAGGCAGTTTCTTTATTAATATGAAATCACTCCCACATCAAGACTGTGGGAACACGCCCCAGGATCTGACGTGAATTAGGAGATGGTGCTATCCTTGAACACACAGTTTAATCTCAGTACCAAATGCGTGAGTCTCAATCAGAAACTTTATTACTAAGAAGGGCAATATTATTCAAATATCTATGTAGTACAATCAGATTTAAGAAACAGCATTTTGCTTACCAATTCTTAACTGCAATAAATAAAAAAACCTGTATTTTGCTTTTGGATGAGATTGGGTTCGTGCTATCTATGAATGCAAAGATCATTTTAAGGTGGTGCATCATCCTTGCAGGTTTGATCTCTTCTGAAGCCAGTGCTGACTGTCAGAGTCACCTGCTAGAAAGAAATGGTTTTCCAGCCAGAGAGGGTGGGATAACAATCTCATCTCAGCAAGCTGGAGATGGAGGCAGGAGGATTACAAGTTCAAGATCATCCTCCTAAATTACACAGGAGACTCAAGACTAGCCTAGACCAAACAGAGATCCCATTTGAAAAAGACAGGGAGAAAACAACAATAAAAACCAAACAAACATAAAAATAATAGAGACTTTCGTAAATGAATCAAATGAAAGTTGGTGATATAAGTTACGTTTTGCTAATCCAAATTCTGAAATGTTTCATCTTCCAAGACTTTTCAAGAGCTCACACAATACCACAACCACATGTAGAAAACTCCATGATCTAGGCTGAAGAGATGGCCCGGTGAGTAACAGCACGCACTGTGCAAGTAGGAGTGATGGAGGAAGGTCATTGGTTAAATAAAGAAAATGCCTCGGCCCTGATAGGACAGAAAATTAGGTAGGCAGAGTAAACAGAACAGAATGCTGGGAGGAAGAGGAAGTGAGGCAGACGCCATGCCTTCCCTCTCCAGGGCAGACGCGATGAAGCAAGCCGCCAGGTCAGACACGTTGAATCTTTCCTGGTAAGACTGGTGCTACACAGATTAATTTAGTAATATGGGTTAGGCAAGATAAGTCACCACTTCGTGGTGCTACACACATTAATAGAAATGGGCCAAGCAGTGTTTATATGAATACAGTTTGTGTATTGTTATTTTGGGTAAAGCTAGCCGGTGGCTGGGAGCCGGGCGGCAGGAATGCAGCCCACAGCTCTTTCAACATAGGAGGACTTGGTCTCAAATCATGTACAAAGCCAGACATGAGCATGCATGTGCCTGCAACCCCTGAGCTATGGGAGTAGAGGCAGGAGCATGGCCAGGGCTTGCTGACTGCCAGCTTATCTCCTGGTCCAAGGAGAGCCTGTCTCCATAGAATAAACTGGAGAGTGATGGAACAGGCCATCTGATGTCCTCCTCGGCCTTCTGTGGATGCACAGGCATGCACACCTGCACAAATACATGTGCATACCACACACACACACACACACACACACATACACACACACTCACAAAAAGGTATTTTTCAAAAGTAAAGTCTATGTCCTGATCCAATATAAGAAGTCTCATTAAAAATGCAGATGCATTAAATATACTAAAAATATTATATAAAATTATCTTCAGGATATGTATGTGTACATGAATCACAAATGAACTTCATGGTTAGACGTGGGCCCCAGGAAACGTATCCCGACATGGATTTGCACAATCCTTCCTACACACCTCTGGCACTAGGCATTTGAGCAGGGACACGAGAGGTGCGCATAGTGAACAGCAGCTAATGACGTCACTGTTCCTCAGCCACTCTGCTCAAGCAGAGGAAGGAAAACCGAGAGTACAAACCAGCATAACTAAATTTTTTTCTCATCCCAATGCTTCTCAAGAGACTCAGAGAACACACGCTCCTTACCTAAAGGATTCCAGTCACTACCTCTGATATATTAGGATCATGATTCGTTTTAGAGTTTTTCCTGTACAAATCATCTCTCAAAAGAACTTTGAATAGTCTAGACATGGTAGCCCAAGCCTGTAATTCCAGCACTTGGGAAATTAAGGCAAGAAGCTACAAAATTCAGGTATAATTGGCCAAGATACATGGCTAGACTACATAGTAACACTCCACCTGAGAAATATTTTTTAAAGAGTTTAGAACAAAAACATCTTCCAAAAATATTGCCTAGAAATTCTGGGGGAAATACACAATACATTTAAATGCTAATTTAAATTTAGTAAAACTTAAATACTTATACTATTATCTTAAAATACTATTATTTAAATACAAATGTTATATATTCTCCTTTAGAACTCGGACAGATTTTTGAAGAGAATAAATTAACGATTTTGTCTTTTGCAAGACTTCAGCAGAAGGTCACCTCTAACTACAAAAGCCAGTTGGAGCATAAAGAAGATAGTAGACGAGGAAAGAGCAACCGAGTTAAAATGCTTAGGTCTAAGGCAAGGATACCCTACCCAGAGACCATGCCCACTCCATATGGCTGTACGAGGGCCGTATGGGATCCTTCGCTCAATGGAACAGAGCTGAGGAGCCGAAATCAAGTCTGCTCTGTTCTCCAAGCTGTGCACCAGGTGGGCTCGCCTGCCTGGCAGCAAAGGCACCTGCTGTCTCATCCACAGGCACTGCCAATTAGCCAGAATTTTGGGGCCATGGTTTCCCAAGGAAAGTGCCCTTCTCTAATTTCTAGAAAAGAAATTACCTACCTAACGCTGAAGCGGTTTTAAGAAGGCCCCTAGTTATTAAGTATTAGCAATTTATTTCTAGCCCGTATGTCCTTAAAGGAGTGTGCCAAAACTGTGTGGGAAAAAAAAAAAAAAAAAAAAAACAAGTCATGTGAGTTAACTTACTTTGCCCCCAGATGTATTTGCATTGTCTATCTCTGGTTTTACACCTTCCTCCAAAGCAAATTCCCTAAAATGAGAGAGCAAATATCCATCGGTGAAAACAATCTCTGCTGTGTTAGACAACAGAAAAAGAACATACGGCTGAGAATGGCCCTTGAGTGTGGTCATCTGAAGTGATTATGAACCATTCAAACTGATCTTCTTTTTATTCATTTTTTAAAATTTCATTTTCCATTCCAACCGCAGTTCTCCCTTCCAGGACTCCTCCTCCCATCCCCTCCCCTTACCTCTCCCCCAGCCCATCTCCCATCCACTCCTCCCAACAGGCAAGGGCTCCGATGGGGAGTCAGCAAAGTCTGACACATTAAATTGGGGCAGGACCAAGCCCCTCTCCCCCCTGCATCTTCTTATTGATATAGAATTTCAGTATTTCTCTCATGTTGGTACCCACGGAAATTTTAGGCAAAAGTGAGTGACCTACCTGAGTACTGTCACAGGAATATCCATCCATTTTGTGTACATTGGGAGCACACTAGGGAGAAAGAACAGATTATCATCCAAACTCAGACCAAACACAAGACAGATTAACTCCTGTCAGTGCTCTCGGTTTATAAATCACAGTAGACAGCACACCTAGCCCTTTGAACTACCTATAAATAAAAAGCAGAAGATTAAAAGCAAGTAGGAGGAAATAGAGTTGTTGAGCATCGCTTTAAAAATATGGCATCTTGCCAAGGTAAAAACCTGATTACACAGCCACAAAAACAGAGAACTTACGAGGATGGCTTGGAAGATCACATATGCATTAGCGTATGCTTCATTCAGAGACAATATTCCTTAGAGAAGAAGGCAGGGCTTAAGACAAAAGTGAGGAGCAGCCCCCCATCAGTGAAGCCGTAAGTAGAGTTTCCTCCCTTTGGCCACCAGGAGCAACATAGCCTTTCACAAAATGCCGGGGGTAGAGGAACAGCAGAGGGAGCAAGGGCAGGAAGCTGGAGACAATATCAACTAAAGGGAGACACATCTCAAAATCTAGTATGAACTCATTATTCGTCAGAGAAATTTAGAAATAAAAATATCCTTTGAGGAAAAGACAAACATGGGGAGGATCTGAAGGGAGGGGAAAGACTCCGTCGCCTCTGCTATTAACTGTGGATATGATGCTATCATTATTTTTCCTTGAAGGACTTTAAAAATTGTAAAGTATCTGGTGAGGATACAACCAGCCGTGCACAATTCATTACTTCAGCGAGAGAAAAACGGGATTATATAGTCTCTTGGGGAAGAGGCAGAGGGATAGAGAAAAGATGTGACAGAGACCACCCCGTGCAGCTAGCTTTACTTTCTAGACAGCCATCTCTACCCTTGCCCATAAAACCTGATGTTTAAGATAAAAGTCAAATAAAACTACAGACATATAACTTTCTGCTCCCTTTTTTTGCCACATAAACTTCCTTGTATCGTTGCTGTATGGTTTTACAGATATCACTCATAATGGATGCAACATATCAAATGAAGGTAACCATGAGTGTGCAAGAACAATCCCCTATAGCAATCCTGTTTACCCTAACCCTACACAGCACCTCTGAGAAGCCTGGGGTTAGGGGTTTTTAACAATTCCTGTTTATTTATAATCATACTGGTGCAGTATACTTATGCCTGGGAGCCTTGATAGTAATTATTGTGTCCTTATTTCCACGAGGCGTTAGCTGGGAAGGCTGCTAGTTACAGAGTAAGAAAGGAGACTACGCTTACATAAAGATCTCTCTGTAGCCTTAAAAATCAATCATCTTTACAACTATAGGTATATCATTACTTAATTTTTCTTCTCTGGCAGCAAAGAGAAAGATAGCAGTCCCTGATGTATGAGTCTCAGTTTCTATGGCCTTGCTAAACAAAACACAAACACAAAGCACAAACACCACAAAACAGCAACCTCTCTCCTAGCCTTGTGTCATCTGGTCACTGGGGAAGGGGAAGATGCTCATTGTGATCAATGACCCACCTTGTCCCATCTTCCTGGTGTATTTCCTCAGTTACAACAGGTCTCTTTGTTTCTTAGTGATGTCATGTAAGATTTTGCAAGACAATAATCAAAACAGATGCTGGCCAACAATGATACAAATGTAAGAGCCAGATATGAATCTTAATAGAACATTTGCCTGGTATGCACAAGGCCTTGGTCTGATCCCCAACCTCCGGTGTGATGGGACAGAGTCAAGTGACATCTTGCCTCATGTGCATTTTTACTGTAACACACCCAAGCTGTCCCCACTTGCCTTGTAGTTACCCTGTGTGGGATAATTATTGTATAGATTACCTGGCTTGAATTTCCTGAACATATTTCACGAATATCACAATCATTGACTGCTTCTCGGCACACAGTCCCCAAAGGCTGAAACTGAAAAGAACATCACTCAGTGTGCAAAACAGGGAAAAGATTTAAAAATAAAAAAGGAACTCTCATAGTCCCATAGGAATAAAAATCAAAATGAAAAGTGTTTGGAAAAGAACACTTTAAACTACTTTAAGATGGCAGGATGCACAAAACAAATTTATTCAACAAACTGCTATTTTAATTAGTTGCAAGTCATAGTTTCTCATAGGTGAGGTAAGTTCCATAGTCACCACACCTAAGTGTCACAATATTCTGCTAAAATGAGGCAGAGTTTCAAGGAAGAGTTAGCCCATGCTCCAGGAATTTTTTCAAGCAATCTGAATTGGGGCTTTAGCCTCCTTTCTTACTTACACCTTTATCTTTGAGCTTTTGCTTCTGCATCTTGTCTTCTCCGCCGAGAATTTTAAAGTCACATTTTGGACTGCATAACAGTTACTTCCCAGCAAAGCCGTTTCCCCCAAGCTTTCCTTCCTATCCCCCTGCCTCATCTCTTCTGATTTTCTCTTATTAGAACCTCTGGACAAGTGTTTGTGCTTCTCGGTTTCCAAATACTTCCTGTACGTGTGATGCTGTGGAGTCAGCCTTGAGCGTCACTGGATTTATAGACTGCAATCTAACTCCTGATAACACCGCAGAACAGGGACATGTGTAGTTGTCAGAGCTCTCTCACGGTCCCCTCTCCTCTTTCCCTCTCAGAACTGCTGATACCCGACTGGGCCCATCTCTATTTGTGCCCAGGACCCTGCTCCCTGACTCACTGCTCAGAACCTTCCAGGCACCCAAGCCGAGAGAGAGAGCATCTGTATCACATGTGGTTTAACCTCCCGTTGAAGAAAGTGCTTTCGGAGACCCCACAAAAAGCAGCCAGAGACACAGCAATGGAGGGGAAACGACGGGACCACTGCTAGGAGGGCTGGGGGTCAGCAGACAGCTGTGCCTTCCTCTGAACCAGCCTCTGCAGGTTCCTTAGCATCAAATCGGGATGGCTATGCCTATTCCAAAAGTGTGCCTTTGAGTGGTATCTAAGACAGCAGTAGCAGGCAAGGATGATTTTGCCCCAAAGGAGACATTTTTACAACATCTGGAGACATTCTGGATTGTCACAGTGAGGAAGTTCTTCTACAATCTAATGGGTGCAACCCAAGGATGTTGCTAATGTCCGATAAAGCAGAAGGCACGCCCTGACTACAGACAGTGTCTTATTCTTAGCCAGACAAGAGTGTTGGTGCCAGTCAGGAAACCCGGATTTAAGATGGCACAAGTCAAAAGTGCTTAGCCCAAAGGGGACAGTTGCCACGACAGTGTTATATGCCACCTTTCTTTAACCCATCAAAGCTATCCGATCTGAAGACATTCATTGGAAGTAACATGCATGTTCACTTATGCACTTAACAAACACTGATAACTACACCAATTAAGAGACAAAGAGTCATGCATGTTTCCATGTCAATATAGTGTGATCTTGTCTAAAACATGCCTCTTGTTGCCTAAGATACTGATGCTGTAGGATGGACAAAGATGCACAGAAAGAAAAGAAGACTATATCGGACGTCTTCTACTCTGAGATTAGTCCTCTTTAAGGAGGCAGGATGAGAACAGCTTTGGAGAAGTAACCGGGTCAGGTCCCAGCTCTCTCATATTCTGGTTTAAGACACTGGGTAAGTCAACTATTACATGAGAATGCTAACAAAGCCACACTTCAGGAGACTTCAGGAGAATCTTGTAACCACTAGGACTTCAGTCATTTGCCCCCTGTTGGATAGTGCTTTTAGGTTATATGGACCTAGACTTAACAGTTTGAGCACACGCCTCCCCTTCAACCTTTGACCACTAATCAGCCAGTTATTTACCTTGCACTTTTTACAACAGAGACCATCACTGCATTGAGAATCCTGGGTCAAGGTGCACTTCTTACAGCACTCTGCCCCTTCAAGGGCGCATTCCTAAGGGAATATAAGCCGTTGCAAACCACCAGAAAATGTCATTTTCCCCAAAACACCAAGGCTTTTTTTTTTTTTAAAGTAAATGTTCAAGCTCACAATGACAATCATTCATCCACAAATCCTATAAAATGTGTAGGTATAATGCTCAGTATTATCTCAAGGGCATGGAGCTAGAATGGCCCCTAGCTACCCAAAACTGGTCTTCAAAATGACAGGGGATCTACAGCAAGGGTGCCACATTCACACTCTTCCCAGCTTCAATGATGGGGACCTACCGCAGCAGTGCCACAGTCACACTCTTCCCCAGGACCTACCGCAGCAGTGCCACAGTCACACTCTTCCCCGGGACCTACCACAGCGGTGCACAGTCACACTCTTCCCCAGTTTCAATGATGGGGACCTACCGCAGCGGTGCCACAGTCACACTCTTCCCCGGGACCTACCACAGTGGTGCCACAGTCACACTCTTCCCCAGTTTCAATGATGGGGACCTACCGCAGCGGTGCCACAGTCACATTCTTCCCCAGTTTCAATGAAGGGGACCTACCGCAGCGGTGCCACAGTCACACTCCTCCCCAGTTTCAATGAAGCCATTTCCACACTCAGGAGGCTCGAGAAGCTGTGGGAAGAAAACCAAGAAAGGGTGAAATACAGGAACATCAGTAACAAAGACCCTGAGGGCTGACACCACACCAATACGCTCCGTGTATATGCTGTCCACTCAAACTATAACTTTATTTACCACAAAATAAAAAGTACGACTTTAGAACTTGGAACTTTAGAAGATCAATTTTGGTTTTTATTTAGATATTCAGACACAGTACTATATATTTGTATTATATAATGCATGTATATAATATTTATACCAAGTTGGTTCTGGTAAATGTCACCAAACACATGATGCATGCAGCCATTGCGGAGAAACCAAGCCAATTTGACATCTGAAAATCCATTTTGGTGAGAAAGCAGGAAATTTGCAGTCAGGAAGCCTAGATTAAAAGCTTAGCACAGGGTAGGGTGGTGCTTAACAACACAACACATTTGGTTGTGAGAGGACAACACAACGCAACACACTAGAAGAAGGCACAAAGTGATAAAGGAAAACCCGGTACAGGTAACACAGTGGAGACCTTACTACCTGAAACATGAACAGTAGTATAAACTGTCTATCTAATTAATCAGCTGTTGAAAATTACCACAAGGATCAAGTCTAATCACTTGTAAAAAATCTTATTATTATTTTTTTCTATTTGCTAATAGCCTATTAAAAATAATTTTGTAGATCTGCAGAGAGGCCTAAGTGGTTAAGAGCACTTTTTTGCTCTTGTAACGGAACGTGTGTAATAATCATTTAGAAGTTAACCAAAGTTTCCACATTACAGAATGAAATTAAAGCCCACATTTTTGTAACTAGAAAGGGCAAAAGAAACCAACACAAACAAAACCCCCACTCCTTTCTTGCCTGCTGGTTATACCATCAGAAACACTCCAACTGTCCCAGACGAAAGCAACATTTCTAGAATATGCCCAGTGGGTCAAATTGAAAAGTTCTCATTTGTAGACTCAGTACATAAAAGTCGGGTATCATAACTAGTAAGTCTTGACCACACTTATTACCTTAGAAGGCTTGTTGAAGAGGCAGGCGCCACCACCACTATTCAGGAAGTCATGATACTCCTCAATGCTGCACGGAGAGAACTTCTTAGGGAGATAGTAGCTGTAGGGGACAGAGGGGAGTGCAGTGTGAGGGGTCCTGCTTATTTATTACCCTTAAATTCTTAGGGCGATAGTAGCTGTAGGGGACAGAGAATGAGTGCCTCAGTACAGCGTGAGGGTTCCTGCTTACTTACTGGCCTTAAATTTGAACAGTGTTAAAATTACACATCCAGTCAACCATTATATTTCTAAACTTTTCATTTAGTGATGTGTAGTGGTTATTGGTTGCTCGTTTATTTGCACATGAATTAAAAGAAAGATATAGTGCAGCACCTATGATTTACATCAAAGACAATAAAGCTTTATTTCATAATAATATACAACTAGCTATAACTCAAACATCAGAGAATCCATAAAACAACTGCCTATAAATTTATAATACATGTCAGGCCAGGAAAGTCAAAGAAAAGTGCCGCAGTCTGAAGGCCTGTAAAGACATGAACCCTAACACGACGCCTCATTCCGAAGCTTCAGCTGTAAGTGACATTTCCGGTAGATGGGTCAGTCCTGAATGGGGGCAACTACACAGTTTCCATGGCTCTTCTCTGGCTGGTTGGAAGGTTCTTGTCACAGGAAGTGCTCCCGGAGGGTTTGAGGGTGACAGAGCACCAAACTAGCAACATATGATTCAGGGTACCCATGGGATCGCTTCTCACTAATCTTGTGACTTTTTCTAAAGTTTGAAATTATTTTAAAATTATGCAACAGTAATTAATGGTCCAGGGGAAAGAAGAACTGTGGCGAGATAAAAATTTAGCAATCCTCAAAATAAACACACCTCTGGGAATTCTCGGTTTTAGATTTTTTTTTCCCCTAAAAAAAGAGTTAGCTATAGGCACAGTCGGCATAACGTATAACAGCAAGGAACAAGACAGCAACTCAGATGTTGACTAAAACTCTGACAGGTGCCTGGCATAAAACAACACAGAGTTATGACCTGCCCCAATTTGAAGACTAGCTGGGGAAAGGATGGCTACTCGGTGTCAACCGGAAAATGAATATTTATTTATTTATTTATTTATTTATTTATTTATTTATTTATTTATTTATTTGGTTTTTCGAGACAGGGTTTCTCTGTGGCTTTGGAGCCTGTCCTGGAACTAGCTCTGTAGACCAGGCTGGTCTCGAACTCACAGAGATCCGCCTGCCTCTGCCTCCCGAGGAAAATGAATATTTATATGTCCATCAGGAGGCAAAATTTATAAACAATAAAAGTGGAAAATAAAAAACTTAATTAAGATGTAGTAACTTTTGAAAATCAACTATGATTACCACTAGAGAACGAAAATGTCAATTTTATTTTTATATTTTCAAAAAGTGTCTTATCTTAAGATTTTATTTAAAAGGAAAGACAAGATAATAATAGCTTTTATTACATTTTTTTGAGAAGGGTCTTATGGTAGGGTCCGCACTGGCTTGAAGTGACAATCGTATCTCCATCTTGCCCGTGACAGGCTGATAGATGACCCCTGTGCCTAGACAGTGACAGGCTGGTAGATGACCCCTGTGCCTAGACAGTGAACGCATGTTATTAAGCCTCTCTCCGCAGCCTTCAAAGAGTTGTTCCTATCCATAGCACTACTTCTTTCAAGCCTAGTAGTTGGTATTTCACAAATTAATTAATATAGTTTATTAGCATATGCTGAAACTACTTTTATTTTTTACTAAACCACTCCCCAGATAAAGCTGTAACAGGTGGAAGTCATCTACACAATGGTAATTTCTTTACTCCCTTTCCCTAAAGGATCAAACTATTTTTAACATGAAGCGTCTTCATCTCTTACTTCCCTTTTCCTTTCAGAGTCTGAACAGGTGTTCTTACCACCTTCCCTTCTAGGTCATCCTACATGTCTCTGCCAGATAATCAGTTATCATTAGGACTCCCTCCAAGTTCCCTCTTCCTTCTACCGCTCAATGCTGAACTGGCTCCCACGTCAGCCTTAGATGGCAGTCTTGTTTAAGCCTCAACAGCAGGACATGCCTCAAATCCCAAACTCTGAGGAGTAGAGGCAGGATTCAAGGCCTGGAGTGCATGAAACCCTGCCTCGGATGGAAAACAATCCACTGTGACTTCTGTCCTGCAAATGTCCTCACTGGGGTCCCTCTAGCACACTGTGCAGTAGGAAACCCGACCCACTCCTCAGCCCTCAGCAGTGACGGCAAACAAACCCACATTTTCAACAGTGAATCCGTTTTATTTATCAAGAGTTGAAGTGTGTAGGCCACAGAAGATGTCTTCCTATTTTCAGGGGAATGTATCAATTGCATTCAATGAACCCTTACGTTACTTGATAGTACGGATTTATTTCAGCTGTGTTTCGAACATCAGCAGAGCCAGTGAACTTCAGGAAGCAAATGTGGAGGCATTTACCTACGAGGTACACAGATGAGCTGAGCAGGACGCAAATTAAAGAGCCATAACAGGTACCACTTACACAATGGGGTCTTCTCTTGAATGTATCTATTTCATATAAGGATCATTTCAAGGAAAAAATGTATATATGCATACACTTATATAATATATATTAAAGTGATACCTGATTGCTCTGTAATTATGCTTCACAATATGGGGATTGTCTATACAAATTTAATGTCACCAAGCAAAAATAATCAGACATATTAAATACAAATTTCGAGACAGGGTCCCACTGTTTAGTTCTGGGTGGCCTGAAACTCACCATGTAGACCGAATTAGCCTACAACTCACAAAAATCTATCAGCTTCTGCCTCCCAAGTGCTGATATTGAAGGTATGTGCTATCACATCCCCTCACCTGGCTTACCTTAAATAAAACTCCTAATGAAATATATTAATAAGTGGAAAACTGCAAATACAAAGTTTGTCATTAAAGAACAAAATATATAAGAAAAAATTAAAAAGTACTTTATAAACATGTGTGCATATATACTTCCTCCCACCACTTATTGTACTTGTTATCCTTAGAGTTCAAAACTCAAACTGAATCAATAAACATTTACTGGATGCCAAGTCTAGTTAAAGAGGTATGGAATAAAAATTAGTAAAAATACAATTCTTTAAGCACATATGACTGAATGTTGGGAGGGATAACGCATGCATACAGAACTGCATTAGAATGCAGGGAGCGCTGTGGGAGATGGCCGGGGTGGTAAAGTGCCTGCTGCAGAGGCATGAAGACCTAGCATGCGTCTCCAGCACTCACGTAAGCGCTGTGGCCAGCAGCACCCACCTAACTCTAGCACTGGGGATACACAGTAGATCCCTGGAGGTGAATAACCAGCCAGCCTAACTGACGAGCTCCAGGTTCAATGAGAGAGTGACACCCCACAGTGACCTCTGGTCTCCGTGTTCTTGGCATGAACACCAGCACATATATACCACACGCAGAATTAGCATGCCTGGGTTCAAATCATGATAAACCTCAAAGATGGCTGGAAACGTGGATAGAGGAAACAGAGGAGGCTTCCAAAGAAAAATAACTCCTCTGGGAAATCAAAAGAAGTTGGAAGTTCAAATATAATTATAATAAACAAAAATTGGAGAAGCTAAAACAAATCCATGTAAGACTATGCTTAGCAAATCAGAAACGCTAGAAACCACGAGCAATTATGATCAGAAAACAAAGGAATACTGGGAAATAAGATGGTGAATGATAATAATGATATGATATATAAACCATCTAAATAATAAAGTAAGACATTTGAACCTTATTCTTCACCTGTTTGTTTTTGAGATGGCCTCATGAATATTTGGCTGGCATTCAGCTCACAATATAGCAGAAGGTGACCTTTAACTCTTGATCCTCCTGCCTCCACCTTCCAAAGACTGAGATTACAGGAGTAGGCCACCACACCTGGCAGAAATGTATTCTTCGGACAGTTTTGATTCCCCAAAGTTCTGGGTAGGATATCAGTATTTAGCAAACCAATGTTGATGGCGTGGATTCATCTTAGAGGCATAACATTATCCCAGAAGGCAGAGGCATAAAAAGCTACGTTCTGAGACATCCCGGGAATCCTAGCATGTGGTGCAGAGCTGCCTCACAATACACAGATGCAAAGACTGAAAGTCTTACAAAGGACCTGTGGACAATACCCAAAATGGAAGGTGGCTGCCTGGCTGCAGGCGGACAGTGACAGCGGGGGACACCGTCAGTGTTTCCCTTCTGAAAGCTGAGATATGAGTGTGTGCTGTTTCCTTCTGAAAGCTGAGATATGAGTGTGTGCTGTTTTCTTCTGAAAGCTGAGATATGAGTGTGTGCTGCTTTCTTCTGAAAGCTGAGATATGAGTGTGTGCTGTTTTCTTCTGAAAGCTGAGATATGAGTGTGTGCTGTTTCCTTCTGAAAGCTGAGATATGAGTGTGTGCTATTTTCTTCTCGATACCCTTTTGAAGCTGCTGGGAGGTAAAACATAAAATCCTGATAGAAGCCTGAGTGTGTGGAACAGTACCGAAGTTAGAATAGCAAGAGAAACAAACTCCAAAGGAGGGCAGAGGCATATATCTGGAACGAAAGGAAAGGTTCTAACACCTTATTTAGAAAAAAAAAAAAAGACGATAACTGAAGTCTGACTGTGTGAAGACAGGACAGTAGAGCACCGACAATCTTTCTGAGACCAGTCTCCATTTTTCTTCCCAGCCCCGGGATCAAGGACACTGTGCTATGAAAGCCCTCGCACCATCAGCAACGTGGACCTGAGAAAGCTGCAGGTGCAGGCTGCGCTTTTTATTTCATTTGAGGGTCAGTTTAGCAGTTGAACCGAAGGAGATAAGAGAAAAGGGATTTAGTGAGCAAAGCTAACAGGAGAAGAAAAGTTGTTACGTCATTATAATGCTAGCCTAGACCTAGGTCTGAAAAGTTCCTAGGGTCTTCTCACAGAGTAGTTTTGTTTTGTCTTAAATAAGACGTTATTTTTGGCCCGGTGGTGGTGGCGCACGCCTTTAATCCCAGCACTCGGGAGGCAGAGGCAGGCGGATCTCTGTGAGTTCGAGACCAGCCTGGTCTACAAGAGCTAGTTCCAGGACAGGCTCCAAAACCACAGAGAAACCCTGTCTCGAAAAACCAACCAACCAACCAAACAAACAAACAAACAAAAAAACCAGACGTTATTTTTGTAAAGACACTTAGTTTTGATTTCTCTCCTAAGTGCCCGCAGTGCGGTTCCACGCACTAAGTTACAGAGTGTCCCATTCTCAAGAAGGTGAAGTAGAGAGGCTCACCCGGTGTCTCCCATTACACATCCAGACCACGTGTCCTCACATTTACACTCACCTAAGGGAAAACAAACACACATCTGGTTACACACGGAATGCAGCTGCAGTGAGGTAGCTTTTATTGTCTCTTAACTCTGCATTCAAAAATAGTTTTTAAAGCCTGCTTCCCAATTCTACTTACACTAAAAGCTCTGACTGCAATGTATAAAACAAAATGCACTTGATCCTCCGGGGGTCGTATACATCACCCAATGCCTCACAAATGGTCGTGTTTCTATTCCCTCACTTAGAATAGCTACATGACAGACGACCAGATACCAAAGCAATAGTGAAAACCTAATGGCACCTCACTAGGCACCCCAGCTTCACCAGCTTTCAGGGAGATACTGCAGGGTCCTCCTGCTCACAAATTCCTCAGTGCTGGGGGCTCCGGTAGGAGGCAGGAGAGGATTCAAATGAACCAGAAAGTCCCAGAATCAAAGGCTGCCTCGTTTGAAAAGCCTAATCTGTCACTTAACACATGTTTAATTCTGAAGAATCCTGCAGGAGCATCTTGAAACTCAGATGAGTGGTTGGATACATGTAATTTGGCATTCCGTCACCCAGGAAACAATAGCTCTCCAAACACGGTATTCTTATTACAAGTATCCATACTTGCAACATTTGCTGCTAAAATAATTAAATGAGTGCAGTTATGATGAAATTCTTACCTCAAATACACAGTGTGAGGCCATTCACAGAGAAGCAGCGTTACTACTCTGGAAATTATTTTCATGGATGTTAAGGCCAGCATACTTTAGTTAACCTACACTTTCCTCGACCCTTCATCCGGTCTGCTCTCAACAAGGAAGCCTGCTTCTCGGACCACATGCAGAGATGTCTTAAGGAAACCATAATACAACATGATCTGGGCCCCAAGCAACCTAGAATTCTCCACAAGAAAATTTCAAATTTCCAAAATGTGTCCCTTCTTGAATTAAATCTAGCTTTGACTTTATCATCATAAGCTTTCACTATTTATTATACCTGGGAAAATTTTCACCTGTGATGTAAATATTCCCTTTACTACTTTTGAAAGCAACTTTTTGCTGCTAATTTGCGTATCTTGCTCTGCCTCCCACAATCCTGATCAAGCAACTGAATTAAAAATAATCTCATTCTACAAAATAATTAACAGGCTATCTATCTTAAATAAATACAGCTAAACCACACAAGACCCAAACTTACCGCTTGCTAATTTTCTCTTGTCTGAGATGATACCAATATTGTGTGCTAACGACTGAGCGAGTGTGACCGCCATCAAATCGGTTTTTCCAAACTGAGAATAAAACCAAAAGAATGTAAATGAACATTGCTTTCCATTTAAGATAGATTAGAAAAAATCATAGGGAACAATGGAAAACAAGTCATTTCTAAGCATTCTCTGTCCTTTTTTGATGTGATGTTTTTGAGACTGGGCCTCTCTATGTTGCCTAGGCCAACCTCTAGCCATGGTGATCCACCTGCCTCAGTCTCCTTGTTGCTGTCACTATAGGCATGCACTACAATGCCCTAAACATTTTCTTTAGTCAAATCTAAGCATAATGGAACTCATATTGAACATGCATTTGGGATGAAGTAGTAGGAAACAAATTCTTATGTGATTAAGTCTTACAAGAAATACTACCAGCTGGAGAGGCATTCATTTTTTAGTTTGGAAACTTAACCAAAATTCTGACTCCAAATTTCACCTGATAACATTCCTAAAAAACTTAATAACTGTATATTATTAAGCCAGTCTCTTAATAATACAAAATAAAGCTAAGTGTCAAATTATCTGGACCCAGCTTTCTTCCCAAGTGGAACAGAGAGCATCTGTAACAAACACAATGAGAGTCAGAAGTAAGGATGGTCTGTGGCCAACGGAATCTTGACTTTTTCAATACGTGGCCTTCCAAAGATTGAAGTATTTTCCTTTACACTGTGTCCATTAAGTTTAGTGTGTTGGGACTGAACCCTTCTCCAGGAAACCCTTCTCTGTTATTCTCCCCAAATTTGTTAAATACTGAGCAAAGAAGAAAACAGCCAGCAGATTTGTTAGGGGGGAAGCCAGTGCTTCAGGGCTTACTCGAATCTGGAAGAATCCTCATTCAATGATGTAAACGCTTGGGCTTTTTTCTTACTTTCATTGAAAGTTCATGTACAGATTCTCTCTATATGAAGTGCTTACTCTCGAAATTTTTCTATGCAGAACGTGAGCACAATAATCAGGTATTATATTTTATTCTTTCCTATCCTGTACTGGGAACGCACAGGCACTGTATTGATGACTAATACAGCAATCTAGCAGCTGGAAAGTGTGGACTACTGAGACCTTACTTGTGAAGTATTAGGAAACCGTTCTCAGCCGCCATACCACTTTGTATTGCACAGATGTTCCCACCTACAGCCACCTTACCACTTTGTATTGCACAGATGTTCACACCTACTTCATTCACGCCTCCTCCTCTCAGCAGCGAGCAAATCCCACCAATATAAGCTGCGCCGCTCCGGCTACTCTCAAATTGACTTCCCCTTTTAGAAAAGGAAATGGAAAATGCTTACTGATCACAGTTCGCACAGCCAAGCCCCTCTCATAGTTAATGTACCACATTTATTTTCTCAGCACAGACAATATGTTCCCAAAGAGAAGAAGAAATGTGAAAGTCATTTATGTGCATGATCAAAGGAGAAGGTTTCTGAGGGCTGCCTCCCCACGTGATCAATACATATCTTATGTGGAAATACATCTGTTAGAAATCAATTGCACATATAATACCCTGAGAATACAAAAAGTCACAATTTTGAGATTTAGCCCAAATAAATGACTTAAATATAATTACTGACAAAGCATCAGACGACCCTGCAATGAAGAGCCATCAATAAGACAATCAGTCGATAGTCTTCGAAACTAGCAAGTTCAACATGGGCAAAGGCTGAGAAAATGTTTCAGCCTAAAGGAGACTCAAGAGATGCAAATGAATCACACTGGGCAGCGCTGAACTGGATGCTGAAAGAGGGAACTGGCTACAGAAGGGCACTGAGACAGCCGATGAAGTCTGGACACAGACGGAACACAGGCGATGGACTATGTAAGAATGCCGCACAGTGTCACATATTCTGCTGTTCATGACTTACTGTGGTATTTAGAAGAATGTCTTTACTTTTAAGGGACTACACTGACTGACTAAGTACTTAGTCGTAAATGCAAACTTGAGCAGGAAATGAGAAAAAAATGCAAGTCTTGAGTTTGGGTAAAGCATACAGGCAATTTCCTTACAGCATTTTGGCATCTTTCCTCTAAATTTGGAATTCTATAACAATTAAAAATAACACCTAAAACACATCTTTCACAACTGTCCTCAGTAGCTCTGATTTTAGAGGAGGTCTTAAAATTCTACAGAAGGTACTCTGCTCTTGTATCAAATATGTGCATTATAAAAGGAAAGAACCCAAGAGCTGGAGAAGAGTTGACAATAAATTCCAGAAACTTACTCAGCTCTCACCTCAAAACTTAAGTCATTTAAACCACATGAACATTACAAACAATCTGTATTTCAAATCTCCTTCCAAATGCACAGCCACATCACAGAGTAACTGCATTACCGCAGGATACATTTCAGCCAGAAGAAAGAGAGCATTCGCCGTAGAACCAGGAGAAATGGAAGAATGCAAATGTTACGTACGAGAAAAGATGAACCGCGTCACTCTTCTCTTTGATAAAATCCCTCCTGTACTTCATAAACTCGCGCAGGGTGACCAGCGGGTTCTCAGAGATGGCAAACTTGTTGTCAGCAGCCCAGGTTTCCATGGCAACCAATACTATCCTAGTCTTAAGTTGGTCTTTATAGATCTAGGGCGTTAACAAAATGAACACATGGGCTACACACTTGACAAAGTCAGAGTATGAAGTTCCTTCCTGGACATGCCTTTGTTTAAATAAAGAAACCACTGTTTCTAAAGGAGACCATTACTTTCCCAATTTGAATGTACTTTCAAACTACTTACCAGGGAAAACACACTGAACAAAGAAAATTTTAGACACAAACAAGGTTTTCTTTTGATAAATACTTATGTTGAAGGCTTTCCCTAAGTCCGCTTTTAGCATCTTACATAAATAATTTATGAAATCTTGAGTTTCTCTAACAAAAAAGCAGGATAAAGGATCTCTAAGGAAATGACTGCTACACAGCCTGTGTGGTGTTGAGGAAAATTAGAGAGAATTATTTGGGGGCAGCCCCAACACTGTGCTGGGCATTTCTGAAGAGGCTCAGCTCCCGCACCGTCTCTGCACTGATGTCCAGATGTCGACTGTGAGTTTCTTTGCTAAAGCCTATGGGTCAAGCTCTGTCTTTTCCGGTAAGAAACACACAAGAGAAAAAGCAACCATATCTTTGGTCAGCCCACCTTTCCAGACAGACTAGTCAGTAGAGTCCTTGGCAAGATTGCCAGGGTCTCTGAGGTCATGCTGGCTAAAGCGTAACTTGGAGGAATGTGAATATAGGCACCTTGTTACCCACCGGCTGCCATAAGGGGCAATGCCGGACGGGGCGGTACTCACCATATCCGCCATGTTCACCACAGACTTTGCGTAGGTATTTGTGTGTACAACAGAAAGCCGATGCTTTTTGAACTGAAAGCAACAGACAAAAGGGAAGGGTGTTCAAAGTCACCAGGAAATAATCATCTTAGGACAGGAAACAAAATATCAGAAAAATCCTTCTGTCAAAAGAACACAAAAACCAAAACACCGCAGGGAACAACCTGTTTCTTTATCTGCCCTGAAGCCTGAAAGCTGGGGACTAAAGAAAAAGATGACTTTATCACATTTATGAGAAAAAGTTCAATTCACTTTCACATGAAGGGGCTAGAATATATTATATAATATATAAGCTGGGTGCCCACGAGGTTCGGGGTTCATCCGTACCACACCCACTCCATCTGCTTTACGGTTTATTTGGGGGGCTGTTCACTCGAAAACTGTTATGAGCTGAAAGACATGCAAGTGAGAGACGACCAGTGCAGATGTGGCTACATGTGTAAGACTTCACAAGTTCTACACGGTTCTAAAACAAGAAGAAACCCTAAGGTACTATCACGAGGAGATGGCTCAGTAAATGTGGGTCACATGTTTGGTGTTCTAACAGGCTTCATCACATACAACTCAATTTCAATCTTTTGCAAGTAGCGCCCTCACATGGCAACACTAAAGGGAACCCGTAGATAAGGAGTCCGCGCTCTGGGAAACCGACTCTCATCCATGCTCCTGGGAACACCCATAGTAAAATACAAACCCACAAAAATCGTAGAAATGGGCTAGATGAGAAAAGAAGGGGGTAACAGGACTAGGAGAGGAATAACAAGGAAGATAACAGAAGATAATGGGGTGGTGAAGAGGTACACATAGTCAAAATGCGTTACACACAATGAACATATCATAGCAAGCTCACTATTATGTATATGTAATATATAAAAATACCTTTAAAAGAAGTATTTTTGAACCCTCATAGACAATTGCTAGTTACTTCTACCTAACCATGTTTTCGATTTATAAGTTGTTCCTAGACAAAAAACACTCTTGGCTGGGCTTCTCTGCCTTCTCTAAAGCTCCTGTCCAAGCTGTGTGACTGTTTCCTGTGTGTGGTAGACCTCTGTATAGGTCGCGTGTGATAAACCCCTATATAGACTGTGTGTGCTAGACTTCTACACAGGTAGCGCATGTGGGAAGTTGCTGATACATACAGCCTGTTTGACATGGGTACCTTTATAGTAAATTTTAACAAGATTGTTCTTTGCTTCCAAAGTGGTGTATGTGTAATGTGTGTTTACACAAATGGCTTTTCCAAGTCACAACTTGACGAGAATTTTGTTTCTTCTAAACGTACCCTAACACACCTTTTATACAACAGTTAGGAGCAAGGATTGAAGGAAAGTGGGCGGCGAATCTTACCATGATATGATCATTCACAATCATCAGCTCGATGTATTTGGTTTCCTCCTCTACATTACGGGGAAATCGAAGAAGCTATAACACAACGGGGAAAAAAATAAGAAGAAAAGCTAAACATGTAAATTTATCTGCAAAAACTAAAAGCACAGAAGAAGTCAATGAAACAAAATTTCCCTTTTTACTTCAGCATTGACTTTTAAACTCTAAACAGTTTTCTTAGTTTTTGAGTAGACAAAAAATGTGCATGGTTTGAAAAAAAATCAATGAAGAATAAAAATCAAGAGTGAAGTAGGCAGGGAACCCTGATTGCTCTTTGGGCTGAAGAGGGAGGGGAACTTGACTGGGGGAGGGGGAGGGAAATGGGAGGCGGTGGCGGGGAAGAGACAGAAATCTTTAATAAATAAATAAATAAACATTTAAAAAAATCAAGAGTGAAATAGTCCTCTTGTCTCTATTCCCCTCTTCCACGGAGGGTACAGCAAATTACTAATTTTTTTCCCAAAATGTTTACACAAATACAATTAAATATGGATATATGCGTCATACGCCTACGTACTTTACACTGTCTTCATGAAAACATGTCTGCCCAACAGTGGCACCGGGCGACACAGAGGAGCATCGCTCCTGCTTTAGCTCAACTCCAGCAGCGAATTTCTGAAAGCGAGGGGGCTGGTAGTTTCCCAAGTCATCTCCAGATCTAGGCGTGTCCATGACTTTCCTCTGGTGTGGCTCATAGGATCCCACAAGCTACAGGGTGTGGTCAGCATAGCCCTGAAATCCCCGAGTAGTCTTGGAGTGTCTTCAACTGCCACATCTCTGCTCACAAGTTCTCCTCACTTTCCAAACCACAATCAGTCAACACTATGGGCAAAGTTACCAGGGCAGGCTTCCCTTCTGCCCATCCATCACACAGGCATTAACAGGATCTGTGAAACTGACTGTTCTTTTATGACACGGATCAATGAAGGGGGTATTTTTCCTCCAGTAAATCTTGTTCACTTGCCCAAAGACTATCTCTGTGATAAAGGCACACCATCAAATCAAACCAAAATCAATGCATGCATGTTTGAGTGATACATTTTAAACTAACTAAAAATATACAGCCGCATAGATTTTTGTCTCTCAATGTATTTTCTAATCTTTAAAAAAAAAAGACTCTTCCAACACTAGTTTCACAGATGATAATGGACTGTGTTTTTGTATTTAAAAACTAAGCAGGAAAACTAAATTGCACCCAATGACAACAATCTTTAAAAACAAAACAACAGTAACAACAGCAACAAAAAGCTTCTAGTGGGACAAGATCTCCCTTGCTCACTCTGGGCTCCTAGTTAACTGAGAAGACTTTCAAATGAGTCTCAGCATTTTTCTAAATGCCCATGACTTGCATTTGGACACAGTATCACACTGACTCAATGGCATGGGTTCATAAAGGAGTGAAGGGTTTCCCCTTCTTAGCCAATGACAAGAGGCTGAGACACTTCTAAAAGAACTCCAAGGCACACGGGAATAGGATGTTTCTCCTATTCCCTCAACTCAGCATCCATAACAATACACAATTTTTATAAATTAAATCTTCAGGTAAATGATCTTTACCTTAATTTAACTCAAGACATCCGTGTGTCTGTGTCTAAACAACGAACTGCAAGCTGATGGGAGTGGCTTGGGGAACACACTGGCTTCTGGAGGGTGATTCAGAGAGTGTGGGTGGCTAGAGACACCCCTGGGACCAGTCTTTCTACAGAGAGTCCCCTTCTATTTGAGTCATGTGCATCTATCCTATCCGATTACTGTTTGCTGAGTAAACAGGGAACATACACTACCTTCTTCTTAAGGGTATCACGAGGTGCAAAAGTGTTAAGATTCTGTCCAATTCTTCAGTTAAATAGTTAAGAGTCTTATAATATGGACACGTGCAAGCTAAGTTTTCAACAAATATCAGCAACTGTAACTCACATAAGAATCTGTCTGAAACTACATTCTGTTTTACCAGACATAGAAGCCTGCGCCTGTAATCCCAGCACTAGGGTGACTAGGGCAGGATGATTGCCCTAAATCTGAAGCCACAGAGTGAGACCCTGTCAAAGGACAAAAGGAAACAATACAGCCCCGGTTTTATGGAAAGGTAATGGAAGCCCAGGCCTTAGTAACGTGACGGGGGAGGCTGAAGCAAAAGGTCCATGAGTTCTACACCTGCCTATGGAGCAAGTTCAAGTCCATACTGGACAACTGAAGCAGATCCTGTTTCTAAAAGGGCTGTGTCCATAGCTCAGAGATAGAACACTTGCTTGACATGTGAGCATTGCTAGGTTCCATCCTGGTGGGCGATATGTGTATGGGGAACAAGCACATGCATAAAGAGTATGCCCTGCCCTCTCTATAAAACAAGCACTTCACACAACCTTCAACAGATTCGCTTTAATTGTCATCTGTTTCATTCCCCGTGTTCTTGCTATGCCGCAAGCACACGTGAGCTCCCACAAACCATCATCACCATGACTGTGATAGGTTGACCCTGACAGGAGATCTACATTCCAGGCCATTTGTCAACTGTGTGAGACACAGGGCAAGTCATCTTCAGATGTGAGAGCCATACAAAGAACAGTATCTGCCCCCCGTGGTTTAAGGTACCTTAAGGACAGAGTCCTAAAGCTATGTCGTCATTTATATACTAAATCCAAGGCATCTCAAGTGAGAAAAAAGGCATTTTGTGGCTTCAAAACCTATCAGGAAGAGCAAAGAAGATCCCATGATGTGATTCACGCCTGAGCAAGGGAAGAGAAGCCGTGCTTCAGGCAGAGACCTCACGACCCACGGTAAGGGGGATTCCATATTCATTCATCGTCTAGCCTCTCCTCGTAAAAGAACACATCCTGTGGGTGCATTCACGCATCTGTCACCTGTTTGTGTCCCCACCCTCACAAAGGCTGCACTAGTTCTTGCAGACACTGACTGTAGACTCAAATGATCGTCCAGAGGCCTGGTGTTCTACATATCATGGCTTGCGCCTGCAAACACATACCTGCCGCTTACTCCGCTTTAGTCTTGGCTTCAAAAAAAATTTTGGTGGAGTAATATTTACTTGTTGAAATTCTACGAGAAAATAAAAACAAACAGTGCATTTTCCAGACTTTTACTAGAAGGCAAAATTTCACTAGTTTTTCTTTCTACTTAGTGAGTACATGAAACATTAAGCAATTAAACATTAAGCAATTAATATTAACCACGAATAAGTATCTAATGGGTAAATACAATACACAAAAGCTCAATTTTCTCATGATCATCCTATGAATAACAACACATTTTTAATTAAAAATCTGCTAAGTAGCCAGCCTGATTTTTGCTTCCATCACTAACCTTCTCTGGGGGCAGCAAAATAAAGAGGAGATATGGAACACACTTTTAACACGACCTATTAGGAAGTTGATACAGGACACCAAAATTGGACTCAATTGTTTCCAACTCACAGACATTCTCTTCCAAGACAAGATTTATCTAAGGCCTTGTTTGCTACTAAAGGGCAATGGGACAATCCGAGTCCCTCTTACTTGCATGTCAGATCACGCACAGAATATTCATAGATATAGAAAAATTCACCTCTAGATTCTAGGTTAGCTGTAAGGGAGGACTTTCTACAAAGTGATGCAAGCGGATGGAACTAACAAAAATCATCCTGAGTGAGGCAACCCACACCCAGAAAGACAAATACAGTACGTACTAACTCATAAGCAGATATTAGCTATAAAATGATTGGTCTCACATGCATGAGTATATTAAATTGGACTTGGAGGTTATTATTTAAAAGTTAGTTGGGAGAGAGTGGGGAGTAGGAGGATGGATCTGGGAAGAGTTGGGGGAGGACTGGAGGATGAGTATGACCAAAATATATTATATGCATGTATGAAATTCTCAAAGAATTAATAAAGAACATCTTAGAAACATTAAACCAGATAGGTAACGTTATGGCAATAAATATCTCAATATGAAAGAGTCATAGTGCATAATGCTAAAAGCACTTAGCACTCCCACTAATCATGCCTGAGTGAGTGTAGCTCGGAATCTCTCCTATTAGAGCCTTTCGAGGATTACAACTCCAGCTGACAGTTAACTACAAAAATCAGCGATGGGCACTCCGCTAAGCCACAGTCGGGCCCTTGCCTCTCGGGAACTGTGAAATAATAAGAGTTTATCCACAGCAACCTCTGTACTAAAAATGGCAAACACAAAAAGAAACTGTCAATGTCTTAAACATTTATTGCCATCTTTTGCGTTTCAGTATTTCTGAAAAGGGCTGAGAATTCATTTTGTTTTGTTGTGCTAGGGACTAAATCAGGGACTCATGCAAAACAAACAACGAACCCTAGATACATGAGGAGACATGCTACGCTAGCCCCACGCGCTGGAAGACTCACTGCCGAGCTGTTTCTCACAGACAATCTCAACATTCGGGATGATCTAATAATTCCTAAGAGGAATCTCAGAAACTGACAAGTTGGTTCTAAAGCCTATGTGAAAATGCAAAGGACCTAGAAAAGGGCTAAATTAATTTGCAAAAGGCCAACACTGAAGGGTATATGTACCTGATTTCAAAATACACTATAAAGCCACAATAAGCAAAAAAGTAGACACAGGTGGCTAAATGAGAAGAGTCAAAGGAAGAAGCCTATTTTAATACTTAACGGCAATCCAAATATTCAGTGTTAATAATATATCTAACAAAGGCCTTATGTTCGGACTATGTAATCATTTTTTTTTAACTTTTGGCTGAGATCAAATGCAGAATATGTAAATCCTTGTACAATGCAAAAACCAAAGGAGAAAAACACAATGGTGACTATCAAGCACACACTACATATCACCCCCAGTCAGGATGAAAGTGCAATGCACAGCGTCATGCACAGCAGAACAACCAACAACCACGAACCACAGATATGCTACGGTATCTGTTGCTCAAGTTCTGGAGTAAACAGTGCTGTCATATGGCGCCGTGCGCGAGCAGACTGACAGAAGCATCTGAAGAAGCCACTCAACTGCTCATAAAACAGTCTTTTCAACGTAACTCTTTGGATCAATAAAATTGGCATCACCTGGGGACATGCTGGAACTACAGTCCAGTAGGAGAGTTGAAAGCCCTGGGAGGAGGCCGGCAACATGTGGCTATCACCTAACCTGTTATTTTGGTAACAGGCTGAAGTTTTATGACGGTGATCCCAAGCTTAGCATACACCTTCCCAGGCCCTCCTTAGGGTATTTACTAGAAGAAGTAAAACATGCCTCTACAAAAAAGAAATGAATGGGGGGGGGGGGAGGTAAAGGGGATGGAAAAACAGAAAAGACATATAAGAATATCCATGGTTGCTTATTAATAAAAAATTGCCTCAAACTGGAAAAACCTGAATACCCATCAACATAATTTAGAAGAATTGTAGCCTAGTCATACCACAGAATATACTCAATAATAAAATCAATAAGTGATTGCTATTTTGACAACATAAACATCACAGAAATATGCTCAACAAAAGAAACTACATATAATACACATGGTTTCATATGTTTAAAACCCTACAAAAGACAAGACTAGCCAATAGGAAAAATGGGCAGAAAATAGATTGTAGAAGCTGAAGGCAAGGAGTGGGAACTGCACAAGGAAGGGTCTCAGTAATAAAAATGTTGTATTTCAATCGGGGTCACCTTGGAGCCCAATGAGTCATACACGGGCTTGTGTTTTGTGCTCATCAGTTTCTAAAAGAGTGTCAACTAGTCCACTGAAAGCAAGATTCTTTTCCCTCCAAAACATGTTCTAAGGAACATTTTCCTAAGAGACGTAGTATACAAAAAAAGGTTCTATAAGCTAAAACAAGTTGACAAACGTTGATTATACTATTTCTATCTCTAGGAAATAGATAACACCAAGCAAGATGAAGTGGTAGTGGTGACCAATAACCCTGTTTTAGGTTCAATTTCATTCGTCCTAAAATAAAATAAAGAAACGTACTTCTAACTTTCGCTTGTTTTCATCCAGTTTGTCACAGTAAATCTTGAAAGACAATGCCATTGTCCTACTCAACAGCGGCAACCTCTGACTGAAAATCTAGAAACAGGCCAAGCCTGAAGATTAAGGGCAGCAGCCCTGGCCCTCAGGAGGTCAGACAGGAGGATCACTGCAAGCCTGGGGCCAGAGTGGGCTACAAAGTTGGCCCTTATCCGAAAAAAAAAAGAAAGAAAAAAATGCCAAGTCACCTCTGTAATTATTTCTGAAAAAAAAAAAAAAACCTGAACAAAGCTTTTAAAAAATTGTATGGTTACATTTCTATACTGAAGTCTTTGGTGGGGAATCATTATTACTTTAAATATTAATCAATGTTGATTGCTTCCAGTAAGACCTATTACACTGTAGTTTTATTCTCATACAGCCATTCATGATTAATTCTGTTCCCATAACTGGCATTATAAAAAGTTTCATATGGTTATTGAAAGAACAGCACGCTTCTCCGTAGAGCAAGAGCGTCTGTGCGTTCATCGGCAGACTTCTCTAAATATGGATTCTTTTTCAGATTTTACTATTTTGTTATGTGTGCAATAGTTGGAGGCATGCATGTGCCACGCCCCACGGGGAGGTCAGAGGACAGCTCCGTGGAGTCTGTTCTCTCCAGCTTTCTTGTGGGCTCTGGGGACCGAAGCGAATCACTAGGCTTTTGTGGTAAGTGCCATTCCTCACCGAGCAAGCTCACTGGCCTCCAAAACAGTGGATCCTATCAAACAGGATCTTGAATCCCTTCACCACAGTGGAAAGTGCTAGTTTCTCTGTGGCAGAAGAACTACAGGAGGCCAGTGAGTCACAACTTAACCCAGAGAGGAAGGGGTGTTAGAACTCAGCATTCACCTCATTCTCAAACAAGATGCTATGAGCTTAGGCTGACAATGTTTTCACCTCACAGCAGTCTCTCAAAGTATCATGATCCTTGACCTTTAGTAGCTGTGGGGCCCTGGAAAAGACATACTAGCTGAACCTCTGTTTCTTCATCTTCATGTTATATTAACATACAAAGCTACGGCAAAAAAAAAAAAACAAAGTTAATTAAAAGGAGCTAAAGACAAATGCCCACTGCATAGTCAGTGTTCCACAAACATGGGGTGCTAGCAGCCAGGTCAGCTCCGCTTGCCAGGTGACATGTCGATGTCCCTCTCCAATCAACATTTGCAGCCATTAAGCTATAAACACAAATGAGAGGAAAATATGTGCCCATTTCACAAGTAGCAAACAATTATCTAAAAGGCTAAATTATAGCCTTTGCTTAAAGTGCTACAGCAAAAGGAGAGGAAGGAAACAGCTCATGGGGAGATGATTCATGCCTGTGTTCACAAAACCATCATTTTCCCAAGGATGGATTTTCACATCATTTACCAGTTTTACTCTAAATTATGTCTCATTCCTAACACTGAGTCTTAATTTCTTAAGTATTCCTTCTGTGTGCTTAAGCCATATTTTTCTTCAATTGTAAACAAGAAGTCAGTTTGCATTTTATTCTTCCCTTTGGTGCAGCTCGACAGACCCCCCCCCTAAAATGGCAAGAGCAATGTTCAATTCTTATTTAGTATATATATTCGTTCAAAAGTAGCAACTTTTGAATTACTGGGTTGTTGTTTAAAAAGAAATCCCCTATATGAATACCATACCAGTTGGGAGGTCATCCAAGGGAAATTCAAACAGTCTGGATTTGTAAACGGAGTGAAACTGAGACTCCTCCTGAAAGGCAAAGGGCAGAGATTAAGCACGTGGCAAGTAAGTATCTTTGGCTTTAGGAGATCATAGCTGGAGAAGCTAGGACTAGGAAACTGTAGCTTGACTACAGTGCTCCAGGTTTATAAGGGACCATGAGCAGCTAGCTACACAGCCCATTCTTCTAACACTGCAGCCACCAATTGCAACCAAGAAGCCTCACGGGCAGAAAGGCCAAAGCTGCAGTAACGGAAAATAAATGAATGGGCCTATTTCCCCAAGGGAATGTAAGGCCTCTTGGAACATGGGATAATGATGGCTTCTTTCATGATTCCTGCCCCTACATTAGAGCCAGGTAGCTTAGATAGCCAGTGACCAAGGCTACCAATTTTCCTGGTGACTGCAAGCAAAACAACAGACACAAGCGATGCCCAGAATCCTGACATAGACAGTTCCAGAAGGCAAGAAATAACACAAAACTTTTTCTTCTAAGCAAAATTATTAACCATTCAAATGATTTCATCTGGCTTCATCTAAGTGCTAAAGAAATAGAATTTCCTAGTATGTAAGTTAACTCCAGCCTCTATAAAGTCAGTGTCCTGCAAAGTGATAAAACAGCTTTAGTAGGTCCTCAGGGAACACACATCAGATGGTTCCCTAAACAGGGTTGTTTAAGAGGTGAAAAAACAGTGTGCATTCCTGGAAATTACCTCCTCTGTAAATGTTTGGCCAACATGGCATGAAACAAGGAAGTTGGTTTGTATATGCAAAAAAAAAAAAAAAAAAAAAAAAAAAAAGGATCGAAATTCCTCGTAGCCCGACAGATTTGGCCTTAGCCAAAGAGCAATGAGGGTATTGTAGTCTATAATCTTAGTCCTTTCCTAATAGAAGGAAATAACGAAGGGTAAATGAGGCACTTTGATCTGTATGGCTGATGTCCTGATAATGGAAAGGAAGAGATGGTCAGAAATATCTCTCTGCCAAGTAAAAATACAATGGGAAGGCAACCAGTTGCCATCCAAGGGGAGAGCGCTCGGGGGACACCAGCCCTACTGTCACCTCGATTTTTAATGTCACAGCCTAGAGAACTATGAGAAAATACTTTGTGGTAGAAGCTACACAGCCATGACATTTGGTATAGCTGTCTAAATTAAGGCCCATCATGCAACAGAGAGAAGTGGTGGCTTCAGAAGACACTTCAGGGAAAGTATTCCCAACGTACTCAGTATCGTGCATGTGTGTGTGTGTGTGTGTGCGCGTGTGTGTGTGTGCGTGTGTGTGTGCGCGTGTGTGTAGTCCTGGCCCTAACAATATAACACACACGAAAGGTGGAAAGGGGATGAACATGTGTGTGTGTGTGTGTGTGTGTGGTCCTGGCCCTAACAATATAACACACATGAAAGGTGGAAAGGGGATGAACGAGATGAAGGTCCCAGCACCAATGCTGCCGTTTGCACGGCAGGCGGAGCACTTACGTGGGAGGTCTCGTTTTCTTCTGGTTCGATGAGATATGTGTGGTTCCCATCAAAGAACATCCCACTGCCGAGCACAAGAAAATAATTAGACAGAGCTACCAAGTCTCATTCAGAGCAAGCTCGTTTTAGGGTCCGCAGCCCAGGCCTGGTCACGTTCAGTGTCTATTTCCCAGAGCCCCGTCCTCAGCAGACAGCTGGAGCATCGCACAGGCAGGTGAGACATCACACAGGCATAGCACACACACTCTGTCTCTGACCTCACTAAGGCAGATCCTCCCGTCTTGAACTCCAAGCTCAAGACTGGATTCTCTGCTTTTCGTTGTTCTTCTAACATGGGATTGTGAGACTTACAATAAAGGCCACCCTAGAATATCTGTGAAAGCATAATTCTCAGAAAACCCTCCTCAGACTTCAAGGCCGGGACTCCGGAAGCCGTATTTAAAACAAGTCCCAGACGAGCGAGGCAGCAGACTCCTGTAATCCTAGTGTGCTCTGTTAGGTCTGCCTCAGAAGTTAAAACAAGTCTCGGCGCCCGGAAATGGGGAAATAAGCTTGCCATCCCAAGTACGTGTAGTCAGATGGTAGAAAGAAGGTTCATGGTCAAGGATGACCTGGGCAAATTCAGGTCAGGAGAGCCTGTCCAAAAAGAGAATGCTACAGCAGGTAAGGATACAGCTTGGTTGTTGAGCATTCCCCTAACATACACAGCCACCCAGTACTGAGAAGACCAACAAAGCCCACAACAGCAGAAACAGCTGGGCAATGCTGACAACGCGGGCTGCCTGAGAGGACTCTTGAGAACGGGCTCCACCCACACCCTGGAAGGTGCTCTGGCAATAAGGCGAATGCATTTGAACAACCCGAACTAAATCTTTCCACAGCTGTAAAGAGAGAAGCCATGACCGCTTTTCCAGGAGAGACACTGAAGGAGCCTTCCTAGATTCCGTCTCTCACACAAGGAAGACAGGAAGCCTGGACACACGAGCTGGTCATTTGCAACCGGAGACCACCTTTGCTCACTCACTCAGAGTGAACCGACAGGGAACCAACAAGGCACGGCTGCAGATGCAGGGAGTGGGCCATAAGGGAACAATTTTCTGTTGAGTTACGTTTTGAGGAGAATAAAAAAAAAAAGACACATAATGAGGAAGGAAATCTAAGTTAGGTGAACATGGAATTTATGGTGGAAATCAAGCAGGTTCAAGTCAGTGATTAGCACTAGAAGCCTGGGTGTAAGAGAGCTGAACAAGAAGAGCGGGTTTCTGCTAGGAGTCCAGGGTACGGCTCCACAAGGAAGATGGCTTACCTATGCTGTACAAAGGGCATTTCAGTTGCTCTCGTGGCATGATCCAGGAAAAGTAAGAGGACAGCTCGGTAAGGGCAGAATGGGCAGGGGACAGAGTAATGGAAAAATGCAGTCAGAGGCCCATTGGATATAGTAGGTAGTCTCTTCTGAGGGCCTTTGCTGTTACTCTAATGAGAAGACTGACAAGCAGACTTCTAAAGGGAGGAAATGCCTTCTCCCTATTTTGTTTTATTGCTTGTTTATTGAGACAGTGTCAGTCAACCCTAGGCTGACTCTGAACTAACAGCAATCTATCTGCCTCTGCCTCCCAAGTGCTAAAATCGCAGGCATGAGCCAATATGCCGGGTTCTCCCCATCTTAAAATGACCTTGCTACAGTGTTAGACTACCCTAGAGAATAGGAAGACTAAGGGCAGGGGTTAGTAGAATAGGATTATTATAATAACCCAAAGAAGATAGTGGTAATTACAGAAGTGGTGAGAACTGGACAAATTCTGGAGCGTGTATGTGTGTGTGTGTGCATATGCATTCACATGTATGCAATTCCTTTTGCTGTTGAGGAGTAAACCCAGGGCCTCACAGGCTAAGCACGTTATATCATTGACCCACAGGCCCAGACAAGATATATTTTGAAAGTAGAACCAAAAAGATTTTGTTGAAAAGTTTGATGTGGACTTTGCCAGAAAAAAAAATATCAAGAAAGACCCTAAGGTTTTAACCTAAGCAGTGTGAAGACAGCAATGACAGTAAACAAAGTAACAGTTGCAGAAGGAGCACAGTGGGCAGCCCCAGCAGGCAGAGGACAAGAAGGAGGCACAAATCAGGAGCTCTTGGGAACTCTTATGCTGGAGACAGCTATCTGCTATTTACAAATCCTATAAAGGGGGTGCCTTAGTTCCCGTTCTATTGCTGTGAAGAGACATCATGACCAAGACAACTCATACAAGAAAGCATTTAACTGGGGACCTGCTTACAGTTTCGGAGAGTTGGTCCTGGATCTCTACGGTGGGAAGCGTGACAACAGGCAGGCATGATGCTGGAGAAGTAGCCGAGAGCTACATCCTGATCCTCAGGTAGCAGGCAGAGACAGAGACTGGGATTTTGAAACCTCAAAGCCCATCCCAAGTGTCATATCTCTTCCAACAAGGCCACACCTCCTAGTCCCTTCTATCACCAACCAGAGGCTAAGTATGTAAATCTGCGAGCCCACAGGGCCCTTCTCAAGACAACTACCACAGGGAGTGTTGAAGTTCACACGGCATCATCTCTTGTTCAGAAAACTCCTGATACCCCTCTGGTCGGACAAACACAGTGCTTCTACGGAGAACAGGTGCCTCGTGGCATCACTGACACTCGTCTTTGTTCAGGCACCTGAGGGGAGTAGAGATGTGATCTTCTACTTTACCTTTTCAGTTTAGGGTTTAAAGGCTCACATGACAGCAACACTTTTAGATACAGAATATTATTTCGCTCTTGATGATAATGCTATGAAATCTATTGGTTTCCCTGAGCTATAATTACCATGGTTTCCAGGTCTCCCTCTGACTAAATTCTTTCATCCCTGATGGGACATCTTCCACATGCCTTAAACTCTAATATACCCACAGAACAGACATTCTCGCATCTGTACAGCTTTCAAATGCAAATGTTTGGATGACACAGAATCGGAATTTCAAGATAAACAGATGTAGTTTTAATGTAGTATTACCATAATATACTATTAGCGATATATATGCCTGTGTTGACTCCTCTTCAAAACAGGCAAAGTATGACAGAAATTTTTCTCTCTATCATGCTAAGAACTGGCTAGATCTACCCAGAACATTATATAACCATTAATCTTTGCCAGTGTTCACGTGGCAAGCAGGTTATTTTGCTACTTGTCACAGTTTTTGCGAACTTGGCAAAAGCCAAGCCCTACTTGGGAAGAGGGATTCTCCATTGAGCTACCCCCATTAGACGGGCCTGCAGACAAGCCGATGGGACATTTTCTTCTTAAAAAAAATTATTTATTTATTTATTATGTATACAATATTCTGTCTGTGTGTATGTCTGTAGACCAGAAGAGGGCAGCAGACCTCGTTACAGATGATTGTGAGCCACCATGTGGTTGCCGGGAATTGAACTCATGACCTTTGGAAGAGCAGGCAATGCTCTTAACCACTGAGCCATTTCTCCATCCCCGGGACATTTTCTTGAGCACGGACTGACATGGGAGAGTCCAGGCTACTACAGGTAGTACTAAGCCTGAGCAGATGGGTCTGGGTTATATAAGAAGTTAAGCTGACCAAGCCAGGAAGAGCAAACCAGAAAGCAGCATTTCTCCTTAGTTCTTCCTCAGTTCCTGCCCTGCCTTGTGTGCCTGTTGTGGCTTCCACTGAAGATGGACTACAGCGTAGAAGATAAAATAAGCCCCTTCCTCCCCAGGTTGACTTTGGTCAGTGTTTCCTCACAGCAATAGAAAGCAAGCTAGAATAATTTTTTCATTATGTACTCACTCCTAAGTGGATATTAGATATAAATAGAGGATAACCATGCTACAATCCACAGACCCAGAGAAGCTAAGTAACAAGGACGGTTCAAGAGGACCCCTGTGGACCTCCCTAGGAAGGGGAAACAGAACAGAGTTTACGGGTGGACTGGGAATGGGTAGGGTTGGGTATGAGATGGATCAGGTCAGGGTGGATGGAGGGAGAGTACAAGGAGAACAGACTGGAATTGGGAGACCATTTGGGAAATTACAGAAACCTAGTACAGTGCAAAGTCCCTGGAATCTACAAGAGCTCCAACTATCATCTATAACCAGGTAAGGCTCCCAGAGGTGGAACCGGGACATCAACCTACAGTCTGTCCTCCCTGCAATATTGGCTAAGCTAATGGTGGCACAGCAATGTGGGAGTGCCCAGAGGCCCAGGCCACAGGAGGGGGCCCATGCCTGGTTGGCCTGGATGGCCAAGAACCAGACGTCAGACAGCCTAGAATCCCAGGACAGAAACAAACACTACGGGCAAAGGAAAAAGTCAATGAAAGGATTGCTATACTCACGGACAACTGCCTAGCCCCATTGTCGTCAGAGAGGCATCGGTCAGCAATTGATGGAGCAGATGCAAAGCCCCACAGTCAAACACTAGGTGGAGCCGAGGAACCCCACAAAGAGAAGGGGAAGAAGGAGTGTAGGAGCCAGAGCGGTCAAGGACACCAGGAGAACAGGACCCACAGAATCAACTAAGCAGGACTCAACGGAGCTCACAGAGACTGAAGCAACCATCACAGACCCTGTACGGTTCTGATCTAGATCCTCTGAATAGACACCACGGCTGTGTAGCTTGGTGTTCTTGTGGGATTCCTAACAGTGGGAGTGGACGTGTCCCTGACGCTCTTGCCTGTACTTGGGACCTTTTCCTTCTCCTACGTTCCCTTGTCGAGCCTTGATAGGAGGGTTTGTGCCTAGCCTTATTGTAATTTGTTATGCCATATTCAGTTGGTATCCCTGGGAGGCCTGCTCATTTTTTGTGGGGGAGGGAGTTCAAGATAGGATTTCTCTGTGTAACAGTCATGGCTGTCCTGGAACGCTCTCTGTAGACCAGGCTGACCTCGTACTCACAAAGATCCTCCTGCCCTGCCTCTTGAGTGCTGGGATTAAAGGTATGTGCCACCACATCTCCAGTATGCTCTTTTTATAAGGTCATGGAGGAGGAGTTGATCTGGGGTGAGGAGAGGTTGTGGGGGGTACTAAGAGGAATGGAGAGAGAGGAAACTGTGGTCGGAATGTTATGTATGAGAATAAAAAAATTAAAAATAAAAAGATTCTGATTTCTCATAGCAACATGTTTTTACTAATACCTTAATAATAATAAAGAATAGTAAAACAAATGTTTCATTTGCTTTGCTGGTTGACAGCTTTACATTATGACATAAATTCTACATATGTTAAGCCTAAAGCAATTACACCCTATAGATAGAACCAAATAACTAGAACAGTTGAGTTAAGTTGCTATAAAGCTGAATTAAAGTAAGATTTTGAAAGGAAACAGTCGTTTTTACAAATTTCCACAAGAGGGCAATAAACTTATATTTGATCTCATCTTTTTAGGTTCCCATAGTTACAAGATTTTGTGATAACATCAAACATACATGGATCAAAATATTGCTCTTAATCCTTTGAATTTGTAAAAATGTACCCCTATAGACTCTATGAGAAAAGATTATTAATATAATTTTCCCACTTTATGTTCCTCAACTAAATGCAGTGAATCAGAAACATGAATAAACCTCATTATGTACTTGGTCATTCATAATAGAGGAATTCTGTATGAAGTAATATGGCTTATACCTAAACCATTATTCTGAGATAGCCTATGTCCTTTAATGTTCCGCAATATCCCTCCAACATATTGCTAGAGGCTACTGTGTTCAGAAGTAAAATCACTTCTGATAATACAGTTCATCAGTAACAAAATGTACGAACCATGTCTATATCATCTAAGAAAGTCTAAGCACGGTAGCACACAATTCTGTTTGTACTTGGAGACACGTCATGGACTTTTCTATTAATTTCACTTTGCTTAGTTTTAAGTGAAAGAGTTTGTAAAGGTAGATACGAAATATACTAACTTAAAGCAACTGAGGCAGGATCCTGAGAGGCGCTATTTACAGTTCCCACCTTCCTTAGAGGACTGTGGGAGGGCAGAACCAGCTCTTGTCTTAGACGCTCATGCCCAGTAGGGCCCGTAGAAGAAGCTCATCACTTCCTCCTGGGTCTCAGGCAGTGTCCATTTGGGAAACTGGGACACAAACTGGAGAGCAGTGAGCACCATGCTCACACTGTGACTTGGGCTGAGATTCTGGGAGTAATACAGAGGTGGACTCTTACTTTTATATCACTCTGCCTTCCAACACACATTTGCTCATATAAACATCAGTAAGATCAAACAGACTATACCAAGCCTACAGGCCTGCTGTGTTGAAATAAGGTACACCACTCTTACTATGACAATGATTTCAACATTTCTTTCATCGGGTGAGAAAATCAAGGTAAAGATGCCATGTTGTTAATCTCTCTTCACTCGAGGAACATATGCAAATATATGCATTTATTTGTCATAAGAAGCAAGAGGCTTTGCATTGAGCGAGTGCAAGGCCTCCGTCCTCTGGCCATCTCCTTACCCTGGCAGTTTCTCTGTCTATCTGTCTAACGGACCTCTCTCCAGAGCTTGGCCAGAGCTGTCACTTGGGCCACTAGCCAGACTCTCCAGGCTTTCTCATTCCATCAGCACTGCAGATTCCAGATCTAACGCCCACTCAAGGTTCTCTGAAAGGATGCCACAGGATCCACTCCACCTGCTTCAGGGGACACCTTGGGTCTCGCAGGCTCTACCTGTCCTTCAGCGCCAATTCTCCATTTGTTTCTGGCCCTGATGTTATTTATTATTACTTTCTCAAATAAAAAATATATACCTAAATTTATACCTATAATATTCAAGATAAAGCCAGGCAAATTTGCCCTGCTTACTACTACACCGAGGTCTCAGGACTCACCCAAGCTAAAATTGCCGTAATGTTTCCAGTGACGGATACACAGCGGCTCACAGTACCAGTTGATTAGTGGAAAAGGCCACATTTCCAACTCACTACAAAAAGGATATCTAGCAACAAAACTTAAAAGTAATTGTCTTAGCTCACTCTGTGCAAACAAAAGCAACAACAATAAAAAAACCAAACAGAGTAAAACACACCAGAAAGAATCAAATGATTCAGTCTAAACAGGATGCTCGGAGATGAGCTGGTAGTTCTCAAGAGGCCGTAAACACATGCATCACCATCCCAGACAGGATGGAGAGAGGTGTATTCCCATGTTCACCATCAGCAAACATTCTGCGAGGGGAAGGTCGTGAGAAAGGAAGCAAGGAAAGACAAACTCGCCCTCAGAGCTCCATGCGCGTGTGTATCCCCTCCCACGGTGCTGTGAGTTACGTGGGTTCTGCAGAACACAGAGCTTCTGAGGTCATCTGTGTTGTTTGTGCAGAGAGCCATGAATGTTCATCTGCTAGGATTTCTATCATTTCAGGAAAATAGAAAGACTCAAACCATGGAAGAGTAGAGGGTTGAATTGGTTTTGAGGAACAGAAAACAAAGTAACCCAAGCCACTCCAGTTTGTATCTGGACGAAACTAAAAAAAATTCTCCAAGTATCACTGTATGGTGGCATAATTTCAAAGCCTCTGGCTCCCGAAACTCTAACATTGTACTAGTACATTCTGAAACTCTAAATTTTACTAATACATTAAACATAAAGAAAAGTTGCTGAAACAGCAAATGTATACGTAATTTATGTGACACTTACTGGAGTCCGTGGCATGTTGACAGGGCAACAAATGAGCCAGGGTTTCCTCGGATCTGGCCCTGGTAGTAACAGTGTTCTCCTCCCTGGAAAGAGAAAGAAAGGGCATGAGCCTGGCCCCAGAAGCGTCTTACACTGCACCTCCATATACGCTGCACAGGGCTTCATCACCCAGATTAGCATTGTCCAGCCAGTTCCAACAGAATTATTTATGAACGTGTCTATTGAGCAGACGCCAAATCAGAAGGCAGGGGAATAAAGGTGGACTTAACTTTGCTTTTATGCAGATGCTACGGCAGTCAAAATGCTGAGATAAGTGTGTGGCCCATGCGCCAGGATAGGTTTAATAACCTATCTCCCAATTCTGAGGGATTGATTCCCTTTTGAGCAACATTGCAGTGTAATTTAGCATCCAGCTGAGCAAAAAGAAACGGGCATCACTTGAGAGCCATCAGATTCCTGTGATGGAGGAAAAGATCTGTTTTTGTGGTGTTCACATCAAGTTTATAGCGTTCTTTCTCAAGTTGGAAATTGCTTTTCTTCTAACAGTCTGGGGGTAGAGTTTAAAGTTTCCTCTGCAACTGGTCACATCAACTGAATGCAATTCTTCCAACCCAACTGGAAAAGAAGCGGAACACAGATGAGCTGCATCCTCTGGTGTTGTCTTGAAACACTTGGCAGTGAGAGAATGGTCCAAAGGCCACAGCACCGTGGAGCAGCTTCAAAATATAGAGCCCTTGTCACAGCAGACCTACAAATCAGAATCTGCATTTTAACACAGTCTATGGGTGATTTATGTGCACATAAAAGTTCGGAAAGCTCTGCTCTAAATCACCTTTCCCATTCAGCCACTAACTTATTTATTCTGTAGCAGAAAGCCTGTTATTAAATTGATATTCAAAGAATTTTTTTAAAGGAAAAATTGAAAGAGGAGCACTGAAGGAGTGAGTAGATGAAGTGGAAATATTACCCGCTTTAGTCTGCCTTAAGGACCAACCCTGTTAAAATACCCCGTGCTGGCCAGTTAACAGGGAAGAGTAAGAAGACACAGGAGGCAATAGGGCTGAAAGTCTGATGGCTGCCACTGCTTCTGAAATAATCCCATAGTAGCTGGGAACACTCTGCTTTGGAGAGTTCCAGGAAAATGGCAGAGCGCAGTCCCTGACCCTACTGCTGGCCAGGGCAACAGCATTTTGTGAACTCCTCCATTTTGGCTGAACTGTGACAATTCCAGTAACTACCTCAATTTGACTTGTAGAAGTAAATTAACTTGTTCCCCTAGATTCTTGACTGCCTGTCCAATGAACCCCAAGAAATATTAAGACATTACTGATCACCCCAACCTCCTATAGTGCCCAGCCATGACCAACTTCAGGCCAGAAAGGAAACTTTCCGGCTAGCTTCCCAACCTCCCTTTTCTGGCCTCTGGCTACTCAGCTTGCAAGTGGCATGTCTGCTCATGCTCTCCTTGTTCGGATCACATTTAAGCATTCAGAATCTTTATGGGTTTAGCTTCTAATATGGTTATGAAAAACAAGCTCACAGCAAACTCCCTGATTCTCTGGCTCTTAAAATCTTTCCACAATGTTCCCCGAGCCTTAGGTGCAGGAGTGTTTCGTAGTTGTATCCATCGGAACTGGACTCCACCACTTTGCTCTCTGAAAGGCTATAACTTTTAAGACTCAAGGCTATGAGTCTTAAAAGTTCCACACTCACAGTCGCTAAGTAGCGATGCAAACTTTGGATAACTACAAATCCTGTAGTCTTTTCCCAACACTACACGCGAATTGGCTCTAGAACTTGTGATTTATGCACTCCATGTCTAAGCTTTCTCCTAGACAGATTTACTGCACATTTTTCTCATATTCCACTCTAGTATTTTTCAGGACAGAAGATAAATATTCTCCACTGGGCTATGAGAATGGTGAACAGTCCATAGAGCCCACTACAAGTGTTCAGGCAAACATGTGATTGAGATAGTTCTTATTTTCTGGACACATCTGGTTCTACCTGAAATCAGAACACTAGCTTCATACGGACCAAAAAAGAAAAGGTCAACAGTCACTGAGGTGGCCTGGACACAGAGAGAAAGCTCTTTGAAGTATTGTTTTCAGCTCAACAATGATCAACCAAAACACAGATTTTTCTCCTAAGATGTCTCAGAAGTCAACAGTAACACATGAAGAGAGAAGAAAGAGGGAAGATAATCACAATAATTATGGTTTCAGATTAGAAAATAGTAGAAGTCAGCAACCACTGTGTGAGAAAAATATGCCAGTAGAACAGACCATAAAAATATTTCATAAGTTATTAAAGGTTATTTTTTTAATACCCACTCTGGAAATGTGTCATTGTATAATTATAAATATAATTATAATTCAGTTTTTAAAGAGCACCCCCTACTACACTGCAGGAAAAGTTAGATGATTAGACAACAGAAAAGAATCTCCCACTAATTTCCACTTCAAAAACAAAAACAAAAACAAAAAAACAGGAGTCTGTCGAAAAACAGCTTATGATCAGAGCCCGTCTGTATAAAGCCTAATGCAGAGAGAAGCTCAATGTGGTTGACTCACTGTTGAGGGTATCCATGACACTTTAAAGAGAAGCATAAACAGGACAGAGAGACCTCATTGGCCTGGGCTATTCAAACTGACTTCATTTATTCATTCAATCATTCATTTATTCACTTTGATTTTTCAAGACAAGGGTTCTCTGTAGCTTTGGAGCCTGTCCTGGAACTAGCTCTTGTAGACCAGCCTGGCCTCAAACTCACAGAGATCTGCCTGCCTCTGCCTCCCGAGTATTGGGATTAAAGGCGTGTGCCACCACTGCCCGGCTCCAATTGAATTTATAAATATATACTGAAATATAAATATATGTTCTCATAGCATATGTAATACTTCAAAATAATGGTAAGAACTCATTTTAGCATTTTAAATTTATCAGATGCTATTAACCATAAATCAACAATTATTCACTTTTTTGAGACATGGTTTCTCTGTAGTTTTGGTCCCTATCCTGAAACTAGTTCTGGTAGACCAGGTTAGCCTCAAACTCACAGAGATCTGCCTGCCTCTGCCCCCCCCCTATACCCAGTGCTACGATTAAAGGCATGTGCCACCACCACCTGGCCCAATTATTCAAATGAGAAAGCAAGGAAACCAGGAGTGGTGGCTCAGTGGTTAAGAACACTAGCTGCTCAACTATGTTCATAGCAGCATTGTTTGTCATGGCCAGAACCTGTAAACAACCTAAATGCCCCTCGACCAAAGAATGGATAAGGAATGTGGTACATTTACACAATGGAGTACTACACAGCAGAAAAAAATAACATCTTGAATTTTGCAGGAAAATGGATAGAGCTAGAAAACATCATTTTTGAGTGAGGTAACACAGATACAGAAAGACAAGTATCACATGTACTCACTCATATGTCGTTTTTAAACATAAAGCAAAGAAAACCAACCCACAAATAACAATCCCAGAGAACTTAGACAACAATGAGGACACTAAGAGAGACTTACATAGATCCAATCTACATGGGAGGTAGAAAAGGACAAGATCTCCTGAGTAAATTGGGAGCATGGGGACCTTGGGGGAGTGTTGATGGGAGGGGAAAGGCAGGGAGGGGAGCAGAGAAAAATGTAGAGCTCAATAATAATCAATAAAAAAAAGAACACTAGCTGCTCTAGCAGAAGACCTGGGTTCAGTTCCTAGCACCCGCGTGGTTACAACCATCTGTTACTCTGGTTCCACAGAATCTGACATCTTCTTCCTGACACTACAAGGTACCACATGAACACGATGCACAAACATACATGCAGGCAAATTACCCATGAACATAAAAGATAATAAACAAATAAGTGAAGGAGTAATGAAGAAGAAGTAAAAAAAAAATGAACTTTATTTTCCTTCAATATATTTGATAATATTTATTATTCTAAACCAAAGACTTTAATGATAATGAAGCATTTTAATTCATTTATGTCCTATTACTAATATAAATGACCAAGTAATTTTATATTTTAAGGACTATTTTGTTTGCTATTTTTAAATAATATACATTTAGGAGAAAAGTGCTAAGGATTTATACCGCTTATAGTAAAGAATAAATTGGATCCCTTATGTACACTGTGCAAACCATACATACCACCAAAAAAATAAGCCTTTTTGAAATAGTTTGTGTATGCATATACAGAATATCTATAGAAGGAATAAATTCTAATATCAATCCTAAATAAAATGCTGTAATCCCTATACAGATTATAAATGTGCACTTTTTTTTCTTATATTTGAATGTCAACTTTTAAGTTTTTGTTATGTGTGTTACAATCCAAATCATCACAGAAGTTAGCTATCTAGTAGACCAGAGGGGAGAAGGGGATCTTCCAAAGGCAGGGAAATAGAACATAGGTTACGAAGAGATGTAGGGGAAACTAGACTAGGAGAGGAAAAGGGGGAAGAGATGGGAGAGCCGGGTAAAGGAGAGAATATGGGGAGGGACAATTGACACTAAAGGACTTTTGAGAAACCATATGGAAACCTATTGTAGAAGTTCCCAAAATAGATAATATATGAGAGGAATTTAAACTGAGTCATCATATGATGGGTGAGACAATGCCCCAACTAGATACCATATTCTACCAAGTAAAACCTCCATGGCGACAAAAAATATGGGTTATAACTCGTGGAGTTGTTGGCCAATGGATTCCCACAAATATTACAGGCTATATATTATTGGTCAAAGGTGTCCTATGATCCCGAAACAACACATACTCTTGATAAGACTATAGGTTACTCTCCACAAACTGACAGCTAAGCCACACAGCTGAGGACAACAGTAACACAACTCACTGAACATGGAGAAGTCAGGTTGCTGCCTATAGAGCTGTCACCCCCTATGTTCCAGCATCCTCGGTACAGGAGGGCACTCTGCAGGCCACCAAAAGATTAACCTAAACACCAAGCCAGCCGCAAACCCTTTGATCTACAATGGTGTCCTCCTGGCAAGACAGGCTAGTGCAATGGAGGCTCAAAGCTTGTGGTAGTTGTCAATCAATACCTGATTTGACTATGGTACACT